TGCATCCTTATTATAATCTACTTAAAATTAATATCTGATCACTTGACATTTTATTCTTTATATCTGACTTTCCCCACTTTGTAAATGAAAAAAATGTCACAACAGTTTAATTCCATTTAAACATCCTACCCCCTGAATTTTAAGCTACTGTTTTTTATCTTCTAATTCTTCATAAGTTATGTCGTAAGTCCCATCATAGTGTTATTATTTTTACTTTAAACTGTTATTTTTTTTGTTTAAAAGCAATTTTTTAATATATATTTTTTACTGATTTCAGAGAGGAAGGGAGAGGGAGAGGGAGAGATAAAAACATCAATGATGAGAATCATTGATCATCTGCTTCCTGCACATCCTCTACTGGGGATCGAGCCCATGTGCCCTTGACCAGAATTGAACCTGGGACCCTTCAGTCTGCAGGCCAATGCTCTATCCACTGAGCCAAACTGGCTAGGTCTAAACTGTTATTTTTAAAGGACATTAAAAAAAGAAAAATATATAGTCATTTATATTTATCCACATATTTACCATTTCTGATAACTTTTTTGTCTTCCTGTAGGTCTTAATTTTTTTACCTTGTATTATTTCCCTTAAACCTGAAGGACATTCTTTCCGATTTCTTATAGTACAAGTGTGTTGGTGACTAATTCTCTCAGCTTTCATTTTTCTGAAAATGTCTTTGTTTCATCTTAATTTTAGAAGAATATGTTCATAGGTCTAGAACAGCCGTGGGCAAACTACGGCCTGCGGGCCGGATCCGGCCCATTTGAAATGAATAAAACTAAAAAAAAAAAAGACCGTACCCTTTTATGTAATGATGTTTACTTTGAATTTATATTAGTTCACACAAACACTCCATCCATGCTTTTGTTCCGGCCCTCCGGTCCAGTTTAAGAACCCATTGTGGCCCTCGAGTCAAAAAGTTTGCCCATCCCTGGTCTAGAACATATTCTGTAGGGTTTTAGTCCTTGAAAATGTATCAAGATTCTAGTTCCTACGCCTGACCAGAAAGAGGGCCTATGGGACACTCGCCCTGGTCTGGGATTGGGGCAAGGACTTTGAGGAGCTAAGACTGCTGATTTCTAGGAAACGAGCGTGTTGACATGAGCCAAGAAGGACCAACACGGGTGGGCAAACAGATGGAGTAACAGGACCAGTGAAGGTTGATGTTGGCCAACATGGCTGACTTGGATCACAGCTTCTGAACCTCATCGATTCTATAGCTGGAAAGCACCTTGAACCTTCCTTCCATCACGTTTCAGAGGTGAAAACCGAAGTGTGGGAAGGTTACCTTCCCAGAATCACACAGTTGTCCAGTGCTAGAATCCCAGGCCCTGGAACCCATCTTTTCTCTCCTAGGACCCGTCCCTCCCCTCTCAGTGCCTCTCCGGGGAGGCCAGGGGCCGCAGTGCTGACGGACCTGCGCAGCACATTCCCGGGAGCTCATGCGTGTCCCGGGGCAAAGGTGGTCCCACGTTCTAAGGAAAGTTCTCGTTCTTCTGCACTATCTACGTGAAACCCCCACGGGCAATGACCTTAGAGCATTGCCAACCCTTGGAAAACAAGTGGCAAGAAGCACTCTTCCATGTTCGGTGCCGATAATCCTCCCCAGCTGAGGGCATCCCCTACGGACAAACAAGGCCTTGGGCCCCCAGGCTCTGGGCACCTAATATTAACCCATTTCCTGGCCGAGTGCCTTTGCTTGTTGTTGCTGAGCTTTCACTTCCAACCTCTTCTGGGTCACAATGTACACGACCAGGAGTCTGATGGGACTCCCATCTTAAACGTTTCTTTCTTCACATGCTGGCTTGTGTGATAAAGACGTTCATGTACAATCATGTTGACCCAAACCTTAGAGAAACTACTAAACATGATCATAAAACCATACGATCATCATAAAACAATACAGGGCACATCAGCAGTGCCGCCACCCAGACACGTCACAGTGTGATGGGTGGGGCCTTGGGGACCTACGGGCCTGTGGACTCCAAGGAGAGCGAGTCAGTGAAGGGCTGGCCTCCTCACAGCTGGATCAGGCGCTCAGGGGGGCTGTATTTTGGGTTGCACCCCCCCCGCCCCCCCGCTCCAGCAGCAGAGGAAAGTGGGTGCCCCTTTTGTATTCATCTTTAGGATTTAGAATCTTTGCCCTAACTGGTTTGGCTCAGTGGATAGAGCATCGGCCTGCAGACTGAAGGGTCTCAGGTTCAATTCCGGTCAAAGGCATGTACCTTGGTTGCAGGCACGTCCCCAGTAGGGGGTGTGCAGGAAGCAGCTGGTCGATGTTTCTCTTTCATTGATGTTTCTGACTTTCTGTCCCTCTCCCGTTCTCTCTGTAAAAAAATCAATAAAATATATTTAAAAAAAAAAAAAAAGAATCCTTCACCTCTCCCCAAGTGAGCCCCAAGGTCATCCCCAAGGCAGACTATGCGGCCTTGAGCTGTTATCTTCACAGTCCGGAAGCTTCGGAAACACCTGGGCCTGTCTGCTGCCCCCTCCCCACTCACTCCAGGAGGAAGCTCTTCTTTAGGTTGTGTGACAATGACAGGCATGGAATCAGCTCCTCAGCGCCTTCCCCTCCCTTCTTCTTCCCTGCCTTCCTCCCCCCTCCCTCCCTCTGTCCCTCTTCCACCCCTTTTATGTTTTCTGTTTAGAATAACAACAATCTCCTAAGACTCAAAGAAATGTAAATAACACCGCGTTCTCAAGGTAACACACATTAAGAATAAGCGCCCCTCTTTTTCTTATTTTTTAATGGTAAAAGGCGATATTTTCATGGGGAAAATGAAGTCTGGTGCCTAAGTCAGCGGAGACGGGGATGGGAATTTGGCCGTGTGTTTTCTTTTTTGTCACACAATTTAGAAAGTGATGGGTGGTCTCGGGTGTCTCGGGCGAGGGCTAGACTCCAAATACGGGAGAACAGAAGGGAAGGCACGGGCAGAGGGCGGGATGAGAGAGGCTTTCAGACTTGATCCGGGTCAGGTGGCTGCTGTCCGCCTGCCTTCGGTCCCTGTGGAGCGTGGCCCTGAGCCTTGCCCGTTTCACCAGGGCCCAAGCCACGTTGTGATGCGAAGCACAGCTAGCACATGTGAAGCACCGGCTGTGGGCCATGCACATTTCATCAGCCTTTTCCATTTCCGCCGCCCGGGGCACCGTGAGAATCTGCACTTAGTGCTCAGGCTCTCACCCTGTGCCTCGCTGGACTTCACTGAGCCCTGCTCAGCCTCCACCTGTCCTGGGGTGGAGCCTGCATCATTCCCAGCTCTGCCTTTCCATCGCAAACTCCCACCCTCCGGCCTCCATCTCATTGCCTGCCTCCAGGGCAATGCTGCCTCCGAACAACCTGCCAGCAGTGCCCCCTGCTGGCCCATGTGGGAACTTCCTCTCTGGTGCTCCAGCTCTGCTGAGATCCACTCCCTCCCGTGGATGGGTTTGGACACCAGCAACTTGGAAAATAAAGCAACACACACTATAGATAGTGGCATCGGAGACAGAGGTGTCCGAGACCCAGACAAACCATCGGTTTGCGAGTGCTAGGGCCAGGGATTTGCCGAAAAGTTCACACACATGCCCACGGAGTTTGGTTTATTCACGGAGTGGAGAGGTTTGCATTCCTAAACTGTTAGGTGACAACGTGTAAGAGAGTTTAAATCGAGCAAAGAAGTGGGATGCCAGCAAATGAAAAGATTGCCCTTTCCCTGGGCTCCTCCCTTGGGTGAACCCGAGTGCAAAATCCGTGCGGCCTTCTGTCATCTTCTAAGATTCCGCCTCTCTGTGGGCGCCTGTATTTCTGGAACATTCACCCAAAATAATAAGGTTGCACCGTCTCCCTTGGCATTAATTCCGGGTTTTTTTGTGGATCCAGCTTCTCTCAAGGCGTCAGCCTCCTGGTTTTCCAGTAAAGGGTGAGCACGGATGTTTTTTAAAAATGGGTGCTGTACCGGGAGGCCTTGTTCCTTCAGATGACCGACCAGCTTGGAGCCCCAGAAACAGCACCAAGGGTCCGAACCAAAAGAGACTTCTCTCGGCCGTTGCACCGGACTGCGATGCCGTGCCCACCCGTGGAGCCCCGCTGGATGTAGTGCTGGGACCACGTCTGTGATGCTGGGACTCGCAGCCTTCCTTCATGTGGAAGTGACCCGGCTGGTGTGTAGCAAGGTAAGAGCCCTGAATGCCACCTCCAGGGCTATCCACGGGATACATCAGGAGCTGAGCCAGGTGAGGGAGGCAGTCCTAGAGAATCAGGCAGCAGTAGGTTGTTTGCTGTTGGGGCATAACCAGGGCTGGGAGGAATTTAAAGGAATGTGCTGCTTTAATCTTCCTGACAATCCTCCGTTGATAGAAAACATATCCAGGACCCCGCATGTGCTGTATTCCATCCCTGGGAGCTGCTTTCAAGGCAGAAGCAGATGTGGTCCAGCCCGATGAGACTTTTCATCTAAAACTAATCTCGTAGATACGAGATGATAGAAATAGCCATGGGGAAATGTTAGGGGCAAAAAAAAAAAAAAAAAAAAAAAAAAAAAAAAAAAAGAGTATTGGCGACTAGCTATGGTGATGGGAAATATTAATCCTGCTCCTTTAACCGTGATTGCCTTGATTACAGAAAGGACGTTCTGACCTGGCTGGGAGTTGTGTGCCCTGGGGACCTGGGAGTCAACCTTGGGCCTGGGGGGAATCCACCCTTGGAATGGGGTTCAATCCATTCAAGAGCTGCCTGTTATCACGGAAAGAGGAACAACCTTGTTGCCCAAACAAGGGGGTCCCACCCCAGCCTCCCACTTCCCCAGGCCTGTCACGCCTGCTTCCCTATGTAATCGCTGTCCTACCCTATATATATATGAGCAGCTGGCTTCTGGGGGGCTGCAGAGCAGATTTCTGTGGCTGACCTGCTGCTTGGAATAAATGCTCAGATAGGACTCAAAAAAAAAAACACGGTGCTGTACCTTTAAATTCTGAAAGTGAACTTGGCTCAGGAAGGCCAGCAGTCAAGGTCCAGCCCCTAGAAGAGAGAAGAGCTACAGATTCCCCATCCTCAGTCTTTGCAAGGCGACGGCTGTGCCAGCCGGCTCGGCAGGCTCCTGGCAGCATGGCAGTGCCGCTCCGGGCCCTCCTGCTGGTCCTCGCGCTGGGCCTGGCCCAGCCGGCCTCTGCCCCCCGGAAGCTGCTGGTGTTCCTGCTGGATGGTTTCCGCTCCGACTACATCAGCGACGAGGCCCTGGAGTCCCTGCCTGGTTTGAAAGAGATTGTGAGCCGGGGGGTGAAAGCCGACTACTTGACCCCCGACTTCCCCACGCTCTCTTATCCCAACTACTACACCCTGATGACCGGTGAGTGCCTGCTGCTCTCCTGGGCGGGGAGGAGGGTGCTGGCGGCCAACAGGGGTCCGTCAGCGCCTGGCCTCGGACTCTGATGCCAATGTTCAGGTTCCCCTAGTCTCTTGGGACCCCAGAGACAGACAGGAAGTCAGTCTGTGTTCTAGGCCGAGGTGGTTGTTTTCATGGTTGTGTTCTCACCACGACCTGCTTTGGATTCTCAGAGAGCGGAGAACGGAGAGCTGCGTGGATGGATGATTTAAAAAGGGGGTTATTTGGTTTTCAGCTCAAAATTCTAGCGCACTCCATGTTTTCCAAGTTCAGGTTTAAAGAGTCCATTGGTCCTCGTGTGTCTGTACCAAATTCCTCCCGTCCCCTCGCTCTGCAGTCATCTGTCATCCGGGAGGCATTCGGCTTGTTTATCCATGTGCTGGGCTGTGCAAGTTCCACGTGCATTCCTGGACCGCTGGGGGCAGGGGCGGGGGGGGGGGGGGGATGGCTCCGGCAGATCGCGAAGTGTCACTCAGCAATGCCACTTGGCCCTTCTTTGGCCTTTTGGGGGCAGGTGAGCTAGCACAGAGAAGGAAAAATCTGTGGTGGGCTTCAGATTCCCGTTTTTAACTTGTAGCATCTGTTATGAAAACAAAGCAGCACAAGCCTGGCCGGCAGGGCTCAGTGGTTGAGTGCCGACCCGTGAACCAGGAGGTCACGGTTCAATTCCCGGTCAGGGCACGTGCCTGGGTTGCGGGCTCGGTCCCCAGCATCCTTGATGTTTCTCTCTCTCTCTCTCTCTCTCTCTCTCCCTTCTTCTCTGAAATCAAAAAAGAACAAAAACGCCAGCGAACCCGGACTGCGCCTGGGTGCGAGGACGCTGGGTTGGGCCCAAGGGGACCTGCGTTGGGGATTGCGGAGTGTCAGTGACTCCATGGTCTCGCCCCGTCTGCATAGCGGGGACTTTCTGCGCTCGCAGTCGGCTTCCTGGCTTCCGGTTGGCTTTCCAATAACCTTTGTGGGGGCCAGCGAGGCGCTCCAGAAAGAATTTAGCAGACTGTCAGGGGGGCTGTTGAGAACGCACTGTTACTGCTGTGATGGCTGAACTCGGCCATGTGCTCTGAGCACAGGGAACACTGTCAGTTATGTGCGTGGGAAGGGGACGAGAACTCCATATCTCATCATGGATCCCCACAGCCCAGCACAGCCATAGGAGTCTGCAAAGACAATTGACGTATCCGACTTCATGTGTGGGTCCTCTGTGCACAGGCACATAAAAATGCCGTAAAGTTAAAGAGGAAAGAGACATTGGAGAACTAGAAATGAAGGCAGAGAGAGGGGGAAAAATCCAGGCTGTGCCTAAGCGAACAATGCATTTGTTGATTTTAAAACATTTCCCCAGCAGACAAACAGCAGCCTCTCTGCGGTGAGGAGGGGGGACAGAGCCTGCTGGTCCCCGCTGGGCGCGCGTCCCCCCTCGTCGGGAAGCCGTGTGCAGGCCGCGGGGCACACATAGATGCCATTGTGTGTCGCAGCCCGACTGCAGCTCTGTCCCGGGAGGTTCACACGCGCAGACCACCCCCTCCAGCTGCTTTCGGAGCCTCGCGGGGAGGCCCCATTCATAGCTGCCACGTGCAGTCCCCCGATCTCCGTGCAGAACGAACAAAATCCGTTTCAGAAAGTCAGGCTCCAGGGAGTAAAAGGGGCCATTGCCATCTGCACAGAGGGACCAGGCCCGTGGCACGGGCTTTTGTCTGTGGGACCCCCATTCCTGACGTTCGCACCAGGAGTGATGTGCACCGAGCCCCGCCACGCAGAGCACGCCTCAGGCTCAGGGGTGGCTCTTGTCACGCGTCCTTTCCATGGTGGACCGTGCAGCGCCCCAAAGTGCTTGACAAAGATCTCATCTTTACCTTCCTCCCCCTCCTCCCCCTCCTCCCTTCCTCCTCCCCCTCCTCCTCCTCCTCCTCCTTCTTCTTATTCTTCCTCCTCCTCCTCCTCCTCTTCTTCTTTTTAAAAATAATTCTTTATTGTTGAAAGTATTACATATGTCCCCCTTCCCCCCATTAACCCCCTCCAGCCGGCCCCATCCCCTCACCCCGCCCCAGGCCTTCAGCACCCTATCGTCTGGGTTCACGGGTTATGCATATATACATTCAAGGTCTTTGGTTGATTACCTCCCACCCACCCACCCTCCCCCGCCTTCCCTCTGAGCACTCTGTTCCATGCTTCCATGTCCCTGGACCCACTCTGTTCATCAGTTTATTTTGTTACTTAGATCTGCATATGAGTGGGATCATGTGATACTTGTCTTTCTCTGTCTGACTTATTTCACTTAGCATGACACTCTCCAGGTCCCTCCATGCTGTCTTAAAGGGTAAGAGATCCTTCTTTTTTACTGCTGCATAGTATTCCACGGCGTAGAGGCACCACAGCTTTTTATCCACTCATCTCCTGATGGGCACTTGGGCTGTTTCCAGATCTCAGATATTGTAATTTGTGCTGCTATAAACATAGGGGTGCATGCATTCTTTCTGATTGGTGCTTCGGGTTTCTTAGGATATATTCCTAGAAGTGGGATCACTGGGCCAAATGGCAGTTCCATACTTAATTTTTTTGAGGAAACTCCATACTGTTCTCCACAGTGGGTGCACCAGTCCGCATTCCCACCAGCAGTGCACTCAGGTTCCCTTTTCTCCACGGTCTCGCCAGCACTTGTCGTTTGTTGATTTGTAGATGGTAGCCATTCTGACAGGTGTGAGATGTTACCTCATTGTCGTTTTAATTTGCATCTCTCTGATATCAGTGACTTTGAGCATGTTTTCATGTCTCTTGGCCTTCTGTGTGTCCACTTTGGAGAAGTGTCTATTTAGGTCGTTTGCCCATTTTTTAAATTGGATTGTTTGTCTTCCCTTTGTTGAGTTTCCTTATATATTTTGGATATTTGGATATGAGTTTCCTTATATATTTTGGATATTAACCTTTTATCAGATGTATCTTTGCCAAATATGTTCTCCCATACGGTGGGCTCCCTTTTCATGTTGTTGATGGTTCTTTTGCTGTGCAGAAGCTTCTTATTTTGATGTAGTCCCATTTGATTATTTTCTCCTCAGTTTCCTTTGCCCTAGGACATGTATCTGTAAACATATTGCTATGAGAGATGTCTGAGATTTTGCTGCCTATGATTTCTAGGATTTTTATGGTTTCACGACTTACATTTAAGTCTTTTATCCATTTTAAGTTTATTCTGTGTATGGTGTAAGTTGATCTGGTTTCTCTTTTTTTGCATGTATCTGTCCAATTTTCCCAACACCATTTATTGAAGTGACTCTCTTGACTCCATTGTATGCTCTTGCCTCCTTTGTCAAATATTAATTGAGCTTGGGTTGATATCTGGGTTTCAACCCAAACCACACTTTCAAACTGATGTTACCCCCAGGAAGCTCCGTGTTATGTCTATGTATGTTTAGATGGTAAAATGTATACTCTGATGGGAAAGACTGCTTGAAACTTAGGCCGGCTTTCCCCCTTTTCTAGAAGCAATACTAACACAGGACAAGTCTAGCAAGGCTTGCGTTCATGTGCGGATGACTCCGGGCAGGGCTTTCTGGTACCGACTGATGAAGCGAAGGCAGGGAGAGACCAGGCCGTGAAGCTGGTGTCAGCTCTGCTGTCCTGGAACCGACTCAGGGCTAAGTGCAGACCATTTTCCCCAATATTCATGCTTATTTTTCTACCCGATGTTGAAAAACTCCTCTTTTTTTTTTTTTAATGTAAAGAAGAATATAACCATGGGGAATTATACTTGAACATATGGTTTGAGCATTTGAGCATTTTATGAACCAACAAAGGAGTCATGCTAGATGCTTTGGGTACTGAAAGGGAGGCTGTTTCAGGGTTCCCCAGGATTCATAGGCGAGACTACGATCTCACTTCATTACGTGAATTGTTGCCCATAGACACAAGGCCCTGGTGTTCTTCTCTTAGTGGGAGGAGGAAGCCTGGGTTCTTGGAAAGAGCCTTGGTTGGAGCTGGAAGACCTGGGGTTGACTCCTCTCAGCGTCCGGGTGACTCGGGAAGACTTGAGGCAAAAGGCATTGCACTGCCTCAGTTTCCCCAGCTTCCGGGCCTGAATCAGGCCAGGATCTCAGGTGCCACCAGATGTGAACACGAGCCATACGGAGGGAACTAGAACAAGTTAGGATGGCATGTCTTGGGAGGCCTGCATATAAGAAGGCAGCAAATGTCTGAAACTCCCAGGGAAGAGAATTTCATGGGAAGCCACGTGGCTGGTGATGGGAAATGAACAGTCACAGGATGTGGAAGGAAGCTCGGAAACTGAGCCCAGTCATTGACATGATGCCCCTGCAGCTGATTTTATGTTCTCCTTCAAGTTATATTTGTATCAGGACACAACTTCCCATAGTGATCGGGAAAATCCATCAAACCATTGACTCCCTGGGGAAACAGGATCCTAAAATAGGGCCTTTTACTCAGAGCGCCTACACTCACGTTGAGGATGGGAAACACCTCAAGTACCTACTAATATTCTAAAATGAATGACAAGGACTGCCGTGTTCCTCCAAAATTCGTGTGCTGAAGTCCCAACCCCCAATACCTCAGAGTGTCACCATACTTAACGGTAAGGCCTTTAGCCCAGCAGGCGTGGCTCAGTGGTTGAGCATTGACCTATGAACCAGAAGGTCATGGTTCAATTCCCTGTCAGGGCACATGCCTGGGTTGCAGGCTTGATCCCCAGTTTGGGGTGTGCAGGAGGCAGCCGGTCAGTGATTCTCTTTCATCATTGATGTTTCTATTTCTCTCTCCCTCTCCCTTCCTCTCTGAAATCAATAAAAATATATTTAAAAAATAACAATCAGGCCTTTAAGAGGTGATTAAGTTAAAACGAGGTCCTTAGAGTGGGGCCCAATTAGGAAGAGGAGAAAACAGGCCGCCTGAGGACACTGTGAGAGGCCGCCGTCCATAAGCCACAGAGAGAGGTCTCAGCAGGAACCAAACCTGCC